CCCCTCTAGCACCTCAACGAGAGGGCTGCACACATTAGAGGTGGCGTAAATCGGTTTCTCGCGACGTGTTACCCCTATATCTGATAGAAAATTGACGAGTTTTGATGAAAGATTTCTGCTTAAAAGTTGGTGTGTGTGTGTGCAGTAGTGTTGCTACGTACACCTAGGCTGTGCATGTGTGTGAGATGATCACGTTCTGGGCTGTGGCAAAAATTGTCTTTACTTTCTTCCAAGCTTTGGCTTGATGCTGTGTGCCGAGTCTGGGGGATGCTGGGTCCCTCTGGGTGGGCTGTGGTTGAGTGTTGTTGAGTGGACCGATGGTATGTTCGGAAGCATGATGCATCAGGAAGCTTGCACCGTGTTTGGGATGGGAGCAAGTGTACGTGTTTTGTAGCGATATGCCCTGTTTTCTTCACAGAAAACAATCCAAGGGCTCATAGAATTGAAATTTTTATCGTAGAGTTTGAACGCGCTCATGCGACCAGTAGGGGCCGTGAAGAAGAAATGCAAATCAGAAAGTTTGATCACATCGAACTCTCATGTCAAGTACTTCGAAAGTTATTCTCCTATAGATCCATTTCCATTGACTTGTTTCATATATTTTCAAGTATTTTGGTGTCTAGTCTAGATGATCCTCAAGCCATATGCCGTCTCTTGTATGAAACAGGTTGCAGATGCCTGCCAACTGATAACTAGGGGATCTTCAGCCAACATGGACTCGGCCATTTCTTTCCTCCGTGTCCCATGATTCAGATTGAAGGAATATCGAATTCATGTCAAATCCGACCTGGAAATGATCAATATACCCCTCAAGCCTTCTCGGATACGAGTGTTCCTTCCTCTACATGTCTGGCCTTGAATTCAACCAGCGGACCGTTCTTCCATGACGTGAAAATATCCTCAAGCTCATACTTCATGGTCGGATCTGGTCCCAGACCGCTGCGGTGCCCATTTGCCCACCTCTCGCGGGACAGACGAATGTCATACTGAAACAACATGGTCGCATAGAGAATCGAAATGCCATGGTACGCCAGCGGCTTGCCTATGCATCCTCTTGTTCCCGCGCTGAACGGCAAGAATGCACTATAAGCACGCTTGACAAACTCGGGCGTAACCTCTGTGCCGTCTGCGAGTACAGAGCCGGGGATCCAGCGCTCGGGTTGGAACTTCAACGGTGAAGGGAAGTAGCTTGCGTCGTGATGCATGGCCGATACAGGGACACCGACATTTGTGCCTCCAGGAATGTACTGGTTATCGACATTTACCCCGCCCACTTCCACCTCGCGTCGGAGTACGGAACCAGCTGGTGGTGATATGCGTAAAGCCTCTTCGATGCATGCTCGCAAGTACGTGCAGGAATTCAGCGCACTGCCCAGGCATATGTCTTCTACACGGGAGAAGGTCCGGCGGATTTCAGCTTGTAGCTTTTCTAGCTTTCCAGGCTCATGGAGGAGATAGTACATGGCCGATGAAATGGTCGTAGAGGTAGTATCGCCGCCTGCGAAACACATTCAAGTTAGTTCTGGGATATGCTAGGCGTGCGTAGAGAGGGCTGTCGCTTACCGGCTGTGATTAGCAATATAGCTTCTTCCTTGATCTCGTCCATTGAAACATCCTCATGCACATTGGAGTTGTTTGTGAGCCAGGTCATGAAGTCCTTCTTGCCCAGCTCGACTCCTGTGGTAGTCTGTTCGATCCGTGCGGCCGCTGCACGCTCGACAAAGTCGTCAAACGGCTTGCTGGTTCGCACCCATCGTGATAGTAACAGGTTGCGCAGACCAAGGCGGTGCATGAGTGTGAGTGAGGAGCCAGTCTATATCGAGTGAGCTTTTCTGAAACAACGGCTACACGCCTCGGTTGACATGCTTACCACATTCTCAGCCCACATATTTTCGTGAATCAGATCCGCAAAATGCCTCCTCTCGCCAAGCCGCATCATATCGAAAGACTCGCTCAAGGAAAGATCGGTTGAAAGATCAAATGAATACCTGTTGATCCATTCCGCCCAGTTCTTTGGAGTGCTCCACTGCCCCGTCGATTTTTTCTCGTCGACAGTCCATCCATGTGCATGGTCGTCGGGAAGGTGCTCAAGGCAACGCAAGAGAATGGCAACATATCTTTTGATAGTCACTTCCGCCTCTTTTAGGGCACTGTCCGAAAAGCCGTAGCGCAAAACGCGGCGCTTGCGAGCATGTACTTCTTTGTTGATGCTCGAGAAGAGACTCGCATTCGTGGGATCCCGTGGAAAGGCAAGATAGCTGTCAGCCTTGCGAGTGTAGCGACTGTTGGTGTAGAGCATCCTCACGGCGCCAGGTGTAGCGATGCTGAGCCTGTTAGGCCCGTAGCGAACAACGGGCCCATAGCGCTCATGCAGCCTGTGAAAATTCTGTGCCTCATCTTTGGCAAAGATGTGGTATGTGTTGTAGAAGTCACTGATACGCCCGAAGAAAGGCCCTGGGTGTGACTTCAGAGGGTGGAAGTACAGGCGATGTATGGCCAGGGCAATGGTCCAGACCTTGGTCAGTGTTAGTATGAATTACAACAAGCCGACCGAATTATCTTGCCGCAATTACCGCTGCCCCAGACAGCAGAACAGTCAAGCATGCAGATGCGCTTGCTGCACTCAAAAGGCGAGGAAACTTCAACGCATCCATTGTCGTCTGATGTCGGCAAGCAGGCGCTTGAATTTGCAGGCAATTATTCAGTCACTGCCAGCATCCATATCTATAGCCCATAACCCCAACGGCTGCTTCAGGTGCAGTGTTTTCGGCCCCTGGACCGTCATGTGTTCAGCAGCGTAATTGTGGGTCACGTAACGATGATACACAGTAGTTGCAAAACCATGCTGAGGTCATGCAGTCTGACGGCCCCGCGCAACTGCCTCACCTAACTTAGCACATATTTGGCTAGAGCCATTATGCTCTACTCACAAGCGTTTCCGACGCCAAAAGAGCGTGCGACAGGCCAAAAAAGACCACTGGGCTCTGTTTGGAGTTATCAGGTTGCATCCAAGATACCCTCGACACTGGGTGATCAGCACCTTTTCCAACCAACAAATCATGCATCCCGATCTAGAGCGCGAACTCACACACACGCTTCTGATTGAGTTGCTGGCGTATGTTTCACTTGCACTGTTAGGGTTTGATTGGCACTAATTCGTGATAGACATCAATTCACATTCCCCGTTAAATGGTATGTCTTTCTCTGTGAGCTTGGATCCTAAGATGCAAGGACGTTCAACTGAAAATCGTACCTTTGCTAACCCGTATGTGTGGAAAGGATTGATACTCAAGATGTCATCCTGGGCCAGTTTGGCACGGAGCGCGTCGTCGAGGTGGGGCCGTCCAATGTCCTCACTAATATGATGAAGAGAACGTGGAGCACAGGGTTCAAAGAGCAGGACGAATCACAAGGCATTCGACGGCGGATTCTTGGACCCCAAAATGACCAAGACGAGATCTATTATCGTGAGCTACCAGAAGAGAGCCCGGACCAACAAGTATCGCCAGCCGATACCCAAGCCAGGCCAGTAACAGAATCATCAAAGCCAGACACGCAGCCAGCGGTTGCATCCACAAAGCCCACAAGTGTAAAACAACCTCTAGAATCTGTGAAAGATGTAGAAACGCCAACTTCATCAATTGTACTTGCTATTATCGCTGGAAAGTTGAAGAAGAAAAGTCAAGATATTCCATTGAACGCTTCTATCAGCAGTCTTGCGGCAGGTGAGCTAGAATTTCCAAGCAGACGAGCTTTCGACTTATACAACTATAGGCCGCTCGACTCTTACAAATGAGATCGTGGGAGATTTGCATGCTGAGTTCAAGGGCAAGCTGCCTGAGCGACCGGAAGATCTACCGCTCGAGGAACTCTGCCGGTTGCTGAGCACCAGTCACACTGGCCGACTTGGTAAACAAACCGAGTCAATGGTGAGCAGACTTATCTCTGCCAAGTTTCCTCCTGAATTCGCCCAATCTACTATTCGCCAGACGCTGGAAATCCAATGGGGCCTTGGTCCTATGAGGCAGGATGCTGTCTTACTTGCAATGGTGTCTGATCCACCAGATGCACGCCTTTCAACCGATGAAGCGCACCAACGTCTCACAAGCTGGGTGGCCAGTTATCTCGAAAAAGAAGGAATCTCCATGGCGAGGTCTGAGCAATCCAACGACCAAGCAGTCATGATTGATTCGAAAGCAATGCAGATGATCACGGAAAAGTCGTCAGCGCTTGTCAAAGATATCCGGGATGCACTGGATGCTCATGTTCAGGAAACCTCTCCTGCGAAACGTGAACCAGATGGCGCGAGTAAAGCTGCAAACGAAGCCATTGAAAAATTGGATGTCTGGGTATCTGAGCACGGCGAAGTGTATGGCGAAGGCATCTTGCCTAAGTTTGATGTCAAAAAAGAGCGCACATATGATTCTTTCTGGAACTGGAATACCCAGGATATTGTGCGTCTAGTGCAATTGCTGGGCCGTCAACATTCAGAAAGCGAATCGGCCCTGATCGAGGACCTGACTTTCAACGTCATCAACCGAGCTTGCGACCGTTCAATCTCGCAGATCAGATACCTCATGTCAACAGCCAGCAGAAGAGTGAAGGAAGAAGTCACGCTATACAAGTCACTGCGCTTTCTCCATGAGGCTTGCGTCATCTCAAAAAACTTGAATCCCGTCTTCATCGACCGATCGGTTAGCATGGCACCACTGACAATGGTTGACGACCTTGGAAAGATTCAGTTTCGCGAAATACCAAGAATCGCCATGAACCCGAAAGGAATGCAAGCGTTATCAATGCCCTACGCCGTGAGCAGATTCAGCAATGGCGTTACCACTTTCTCAGAAGAACTCAGCACTGCCTTCGCTTCTGACCTTCAGTCTGTCAAGCGAACAGGTTTTTCTTTCCGGGATAAAAATGTTCTGCTGAATGGAGCTGGAAAGAGGTCTATCGGAATACACATCCTCCGTTCCTTACTTGAAGGTGGGGCTAGGGTTACGTTGACGACGAGCAGCTACTCTCCCGAAACTACCCAGATGTACCAGGATCTATACAGAAGATATGGTTCGCGGCATTCAGTCCTTCGGGTGCTTCCCTTCAACCAAGGAAGTCAGCGTGACGTCCAGAATTTGGTCCAATATCTAGAGTCGGATCCAGCTTGGGATCTAGACTACATTGTACCATTCGCGGCCATCTCTGAGAACGGCCGCAGTGTTGAAGAGATTGACTCAAAGTCGGAGCTCGCGCACCGTCTCATGCTCACCAATCTCGTTCGACTCCTTGGAGCAATCGCTCGAAGCAAGAAAAACAGGAACATCAGAACGCGCCCTGCCACTGTCATCCTCCCGCTATCGCCAAATCATGGGCTGATGGGAGGAGATGGGCTCTACTCGGAGTCGAAAAGATCACTGGAAATTCTCATGGCGAAGTGGTCTTCTGAGTCATGGGCAGAGTACCTCTCCCTTTTTGGCGTCGTTATCGGCTGGACAAGAGGTACCGGGCTTATGGATGACAATGACGTGGTCGCACAAGCGGTAGAAGCCTTGGGTGTTCGGACATTCGCTACCGACGAAATGGCAAGCAACATCGTATGTCTTATGGGTGGCCGTCTCAATGCAGAATGCCAGTCCATCCCACTGTTTGTCGATCTAGGTGGAGGCCTGAATTCGGTCAATGACTTCAAGAATCGACTTGCAACCATCCGCAGGGACTTGACTGGATACTCCCAAACATCAAAAGCCATTTGCGACGAGATGGCGAGAGATGCTTCTCTCAGTGCTGAGCCTGACGTCAAGAGCAAGGCTTCTAAACTGGAACGGACTATAGACATCAAAAGCAACATGAATATCGCTTTCCCGAATCTTCCCAATTACGAAAAGGAGCTTGCTCCTCTGTCATTGGTCATGGAAGATATGGTTGATTTGAGCCGCACCGTTGTCGTCACTGGCTTCGCTGAACTCGGCCCTCACGGCAGCAGTCGGACTCGGTGGGAGATGGAGGCAGATGGTTCATTATCTCTTGAGGGCTGCATCGAGATGGCTTGGATAATGGGTCTGATAAGACACCAAGCAGCTAACCCGATGGATGATGACAGTGTGACTGGCTGGGTCGATGCTGCTACACAGAAACCCCTTAAGGACAGCGAGATCCCTGCCCGATATCTGTCCAAAATACTGGAACATAGCGGTATCCGCACAATCGAGCCTGAAATATGCGACAACGGATACGATCCGGACTTCAAAGAGTCCTTGCAGGAGTTGGTCCTCAAGCGTGATTTGCCGCCTTTCGAAACTTCGGCAGAGGCAGCAGAAGATCTGCGACGCAAGCACGGCGACAAGGCGGTGATATCTACCGATAATACTGGGACTTTCCATGTGCAGCTGAAAGCCGGTGCTACCCTCATGATTCCAAGATCATCGCGTTTCAACAGGACGGTGGCCGGTCAGATCCCTACTGGCTGGTCGCCCAAGCGCTACGGCATCTCTGATGATATCATCCACCAAGTAGACCCAGTAACGCTGTTCTCTCTTGTCTGCACCGTCGAAGCATTCTTATCCTCAGGCATCCTGGATCCCTACGAGCTCTACCAACATATTCATGTCTCGGAGGTTGGAAATTGCATTGGCTCGAGTATGGGCGGGCTTTCTTCGCTCAGAAGCATGCATCGAGACCGATTTATCGACAAGCAGGTCAAGAGCGATGTGCTTCAAGAGACCTTCATCAATACAACAGGCGCTTGGGTCAATATGCTTCTGACTTCGTCATCGGGCCCCATTAGAACACCTGTCGGTGCTTGTGCTACCTCACTCGAGTCTCTTGATACGGCATATGACCTAATCGTCGCACAGAAAGCCAAAGTGTGCATAGTCGGCGGTGTGGAGGACTTTGTAGAAGATGTCTCATATGAGTTTGGTAGCATGAAAGCCACCTGCAATACCGATGCCGAATCCGCCGCTGGGCGTAGCGCACAAGAGATGTCAAGACCGATGGCATCTAGCAGAAGCGGATTTGTAGAGTCTCAAGGATGTGGCATACAGATTGTTACCTCAGCGGAGCTGGCTCTCAAGATGGGCCTGCCGATATACGGTGTCGTGGCTCATACAAGTATGTCAGCCGACAAGGCAGGCCGTTCTGTGCCAGCGCCAGGCAAGGGTGTGTTGAGCAACGCACGCGAGCGACATAGCACAGCAAAGGAGCTCCCTCGGCCACTGCTAGACCTCAAGCTAGACCCCAAGTATCGACGAAAGCAGCTTCAACAGCGACGAAACCAGATAGCTGCCTGGCGCGAAGAAAGCATTGCATTCATGGAAGCAGAGATCGACATGTTTTCGCATCTCACCGAAGAGGAGCGGCTCCAATATCGCCGGCAAAATATCATCGACATTGAAAAAGAGGCACTGAAGCAGCAAGCAGATGCTGCATTCAACATCAACCATCAATTCTGGCAGAAAGATGAAGCGCAGCGCATATCTCCTATCCGAGGCTCCCTGGCAACATGGGGTCTCGGCATCGATGACATTTCCGTTGCATCACTCCATGGAACTTCTACCGTTCTCAACGACCTGAACGAGACGCTCGTTATTGAGAAGCAGATGCGACATTTGGGTCGAAAAGAAGGAAATCTCCTACCTTGCGTCAGTCAAAAATGGCTGACGGGCCATTCCAAGGGTGCCGCGGGCGCTTGGATGTTGAATGGTTGTCTGCAGATGATGGACTCTGGCCTCATCACGGGAAACAGGAACGCCGACAACATTGACACCAAGCTGCGTGAACGCGGATACTTGTACTTCCCCAATGTCACTCTGGAGCCTGATACCGTGGATGGCATCAAGGCATGCTCAATCACCTCGTTCGGCTTCGGTCAAAAAGGTTGCCAGGCGCTCATGGTTCATCCTCGTTACCTTTTGGCGACGATTTCGAAATCTGCGTTTGATGAATATGCGGCAAAGAGACATAGGAGGTGGCAGTTGGCTTGCTCTTCGTTTTCGGATGCGCTGGTGAATGAGAACATGGTTTCGAGGTGCATCAAAGACCATGCACCGTATGAGTCGAGCGAGGAGATGGATGTGCTACTTGATCCGTTGCGGAGATTCAATAGCTTGTGATTGGTCATGAGTAAGAGCAGGATTATTTTCTTAGATTTCCTTTTGAATTTGGATATTATGGCGTAGGAGTGTTCACGTGATCAATCCTTGGTTTGGGTAAATACTAGATAGTTATTGAGGTAGAGAAAATCAATCATCTCCCGCACCGAGAGCTCCTTGTCTACTACTTTTTGTCTGCTACTCTACCTACCTACCGATTGTGGGTCGAAACCTACTCCTTATCTGTCTTACCTGCTGTGATTTCCTATCGCTGCCACGCTGTAGCCGACTTGAACACGTTTCGTAGTCGTCAGTCGTCCTGTTATTTGATTCTTCAAATTAAACATCAAATTAGAAATCCTACCAGTTCGTTTAAACATCATGCGGCTAATGGCTCTTTTCAGATTTTCCGAGGGAATCAAATCCACGTACATGACATTCATGACTATGTCTGGAGACATGCAATTGGACCATTGGACATACGGGGATTTTTATCGCGCTTTTCGCTATTACTTGATTTTCTAACGGAATAGCAATCCGCAATCTGCTGACAACAGGGAGGGTTCATGTGGGACAGAGTTACTCCATGCCGATATGGCTCTATTACACACCGTTCGAAGTAACCGGCCTAAACTGAAGGTATGGACCCTGTTTCAAGCTCGTGAATGCCCAGATTGTTTGGTACACACCCTTCTCGGTACCGACGCCGTCTCCCACCTTGCCCAATGATGAATTTGCTTGACGGAAGTCATACTGACGTATAACTGCAGCTGCAGCCAGACTAATTTCAATCATCGCCAGATTCTTGCCGACGCAGTTACGTGGTCCAACCGAGAACGTAGCAAACGCCGCTTTAGCCTTTGCTACCGATTCTTCACCGGACTCGCTTGCAATCCAGCGCTCTGGCTTGTATGCAAACGGTTCTGGGTAATAAACCGCGTTATGGTTTAGTGAGAAGATACCTGTACCAACTTCGCATCCTGCTGGTATATGAATGTTCTCGGCCACAATGTCCAGACCACCGGCTCGTGCTTCTCTCCACATGGCGCCGCTGGCAGCAGGATTGAGTCGCAGTGCTTCTTGGATACATGCGCGAAGATAAGTGCATGATGAGAGCTTGGGGCCTTGTGATATTTCGTCGTTGGAGAGAAATGTTTCACGAACTTCTCGCGTGACTCTAGAATAGGCTTCAGGATTACGTGAAAGATAAAAGAACAGCGCCGCGATGCCAGTGGATGAGGTATCGGATCCTACGCGAGAACAATCAGTCATGTGTTACAAGGTACGTGTTCAGAGTGCTTACCAGCTATGATCAGCAGGTTACTCTCTGCCCATAGTTGAGCTTGCGACAAGCTTTCACCCGTTTCGGGATCCTTGGCAGTCAGCAGCTTGGAGAAGAGGTCGTCTTTGAAGCCGTCGGTATCGGTCTTTTCACGTGCACGTCTTGTTTCTAGGATTTCTCGACTTTTCCCTGAGAAACGAATCGCTTTTTTGCGAGCTTCTGGAAATAGTATGTGATGGAAGCGCATTTCCTGCAACTCAGGAAGCGTAGTCAGGAAGCTGACGCGCCGCATTTGCCCAAGTACGCCGTCAATGATCCAATGATTGGTAGCATCGGTGAGCATGTGATAGGACATGCCGAAAACTAATTGCGACATGACATCGAATGTGAAGAAGTCGCCTGGGAGTGGGATTAGCATTCAATGATTGCAATGTTCAGAAAGTAAACTAATTTGAGGCTTTTTACTCACTCCATTCAGCAAGGTTTTTGGGAGCACTCCATTGATCTTCGCCGGCTTCAAGGGTCGGATCAAAGGTATCCTGGCGTTTGCCAAGGCTAGAAGCGAAGAGCAGTGCCAGTCGACACATCTCTGAGTCAAACGCGCGAAAGTGGGAGTCTGATAGTCCTTGGTTGAGAAGCCTTCTTAGCTTGCCATGCTCCCTATCGTCCATTGTGCCCAATGTTGGGTGTACTCCTGGCACAAGAGAGATACGAAGATATCCCTTTGATTTGCGAACATTCTTTCCATGGCCATAGATTCCTATGCGTACGGATTAGCTTGGACGTTCACGAAGATAACCAGCTATCAATTCGTCTTCTGCGCATACCCTTGAACGCCTCGTCTGTATTTATGAGAAGTCTGTTTGGCCCGTAGCGAACTCGATCACCTAGCTCTGTCGTTAGCAACTGCGTATCGTCTTTCGATCTCTGATCGACACTCTAATGGCCCAGTTCAACTTACCATATTTCTCATGGCATCGGAAAATATCGGTGTGCAAATCCCCAATGTACACATGGTAGATGGAGTACCAGCTCGTCAATTTGGCTAGGAAAGGCCCAGGGTACTTGGCGTAAGGGTGGAAATACAAACGGTAAATGCTTAGGCCGAGCTAACGTCCCAGAAAATAGATTAGTGGCTTGATTCATCCAATACGCAGTATGAATGCATCGGACATACTAATGCGCCAAAGACTAAACAAAGCAGGCCGGTGGCAATGGTCCCAATACTGGGGACTTGGGCGTGCGCAACAAACATGACCAATTCTATCGCAGTGTTTGATCCGTGAGGGCTGCACTGGGCCGTGATTTTATTTGCATATCACCTGCAATGGCGCAATGCAAAAAAAACACGACAATAAGCAGAATAAGTGATTGAAACAGTGACGAGGGTGGTGTTGACCACTGTCTCTGGGCTAAGTATAGGTCGGCCGCCAAGGCGCTATACGCCATCAGGCAGGGCCATGACATGCATCAACCAAAAGGGAAACCTGTTTGAGTGTCTGCAGCAGTCAATCAAAGCAGCGAAGCAACCAAGATTACTTCCACCAAGCTTATCACATGCGGAACATGATAAATCGGATACCAATAAATCATGCATATGACATTGAACGTGGTGTTGTGGGTGTGCGCTTTGCTGACGAAATCTCACGTCAGTTACTAACGAAATCCGGTGGGCAAAGATTCGCACACACATATTCATGCATTACCTATGCTACATACAGCAAAGGAGCTGAGATTTTTGACTGCAGTAAGAGATCTTCTGCGCAGTGGCTTCACGCCTACAAAAATCACAGTGGCCTTCCATGCGCTCCCTGTACATTCATACCTCAGTCAGCTGATTAATGTTGGGCAAATTATTTCTTTTTTTCATGCCGCAACCATGGGTGTATTAGTCACATTGTCAGACAATTTCAAGCTTTGCCTTGCAGCAAGTGTTCCTTTAGTCCTGGTAATATGTCTTTGCTCTCAATTTATTTCCTTGTTGCTAACACTACGCGCATCAAGATCATCACGTTCGCTTTGAGAATATTTGTTTTCCACCCACTTGCCGCATACCCAGGGCCCTTTCTTGCACGATGCACAAACCTGTATGCCGGGTACTATGCATGGAAGGGGACTATCCATCTGGATATGTACAGATGTCACCAGAAATATGGTAAAGAACTACCCCAGCCAGCCATTTATTGCTCTTTGTGACACTCACACGATTACGCATAGGCCCAATAGTAAGATATGGCCCATCACGGCTACTGATTGACACGCATACCGCAGCTCAAGGTTTGTAGCAACAGATCCGAGCACGCATGCTTTTCAAAAAGACTAAAACGATGCCAGATGTACATTCGCACAGAGCAAACACAATCAAATCAAGGGCCTATCAGGCCCTCGTGCACAGTGCACCAAATACTCTCACTATTCGCCACAAAGAGGCGCATGCACGAAGGAGACGCATTCTCAGTCTTGCGTTCTCCGATGCCCGAATGCTCAGCTACGAAAGTGCTGTCAAAGGATGCATTAATGCACTGTGCGACAATTTGAGACAGAATGCGCTTGTACAAGAACATTCGTCAAAAGAAAAACCAATTGACATGTCTCTTCAAAGTGAGTTTGCACCCGAAGCAATTGTTCATTCCGCCTGATTAACGCAACCTGAAAAGGTGATTGGTTCACATTCGATATCATGTCGGAAGTCATTTTTGACATGAGATACGAAGCCCTGAAAAAGTCAACATACCGCCACGTAACCCAGGCTATTCAAGACTCGAATGTTCGAGTAGGAACTCTCGTACAAGCCTATTCTCTCACCACTGGTAGACTGGACCGATACCTGTTTCCTGCGTCAATTCAAGCCAGGAACGCATTTCTCAAGTTCATCACGTCGTTGCTGCGGGATCGATCTAAATTGGCTCCTACTCAAGACAAAAGTGATGTGTTCTCCTTCTTGGAAACAGCCAAAGATCCAGACAATGACAGCACGCTGACAAAGTCTGAAATACGAGCAGAGTGTGCCACCCTCGTGGTTGCTGGTAAGTTGCTCACATTACAACGTGGAAACCAAATTGTATCTTAGTATATTAATGTGTATGATAGGATCGGATACATCGTCCTCCACTCTCGCGGCAACGCTGTTCTATCTGAGTGAAAATCCCGGGGCATATGAAAGGCTGTGCCGAGAAATCCGACAAAAGTTTTCATCACTCGACGAAATCAAGCTAGGTGCCCAGCTGAATTCTTGCACTTATCTCCGGGCATGCATCGATGAAGCTCTTCGCATGTCACCACCAGTAGGTGCGGCATTATGGAGGGAGGTCGGCACCGGTGGTATCACGATTGGTTCCGTGCAGTTACCACAAGGTATCGACGTTGGCACCGGCATCTACAGTCTGCACCACAATGCCAAGTATTTCCACGAGCCTTTCCGTTTCAATCCTGAAAGGTGGCTCGTGGGTGAAAATGGAGTCACGAAAGAGCAAGTTGAGCTCGCTCGAAAAGCATTCAACCCATTCTCTAGTGGTCCAAGAGGCTGCATTGGCAAAGGTTTTGCTTACCATGAGATGACATTGACGTTATCTCATATCATTTACCAGTTTGATTTCCTTCGCTCCGAGCATCTTACCAGGTTTGCTGGCAAGAGACCCATGATCCAGGGCCATGCCCAGTTCGTTTTGAAGGATCACATCACAGGTGCGAAGGAAGGCCCAGATCTTGTATTCAGAATACGCATTTGAGGGACAAGAATTAAGTACATGTGAGAGTATAGACAAAGCAAAAAGCATCTTGTATCGAATTCCTTGCTGTATAGGCTTTTTGATTGATACAAAACACCAGATGGTGGAGTAGCTTCAACTCGCTATGCTCAACGAGTTCCCAGTCACATTCCTATGTCATTCGAGCCAGTCCTTCTCGACACTTTTCAACATTTCTGCAAGCCACGGATGATCCTCCTTGTAGATTGAATCATCAAAACCATGTTCCCCAGGCGGTGTGACTAGATCGAATCTTGTGTGTGGAAATAATTCCCTTGCCCTGTCTACAAACTTCTCCGTCCACTTGAGAGGCACAAGTGAGTCGTCTTTGCCGTGCATAATATAAGTTGGAACAAAGAACTTTGCAGTCTCGATACGCGTCTCCGGCATGAGGTGCTGGCCCGTGCCAAAGAACTCGTCCCAGCGCCCGTATGCCAGTAGCAATGACATGATGGTAGCCCGAGCTGGTGGGGTGGCTCCGCTGATGATAGTGCCTGGTTTCATACTTGCAAGAAACTCGTCCAGGTCACTCTTCGGTGGAACGGGGTTTCCCATAAGAATAGCGTCTGGGGAAATGGGAATGGCATTGACCACGGGATACTGAATAAAACAGGCGCGGAATGTATTTTCCGGTAAGGAAAGGATGGACTGAAGCGCCATCCATCCGCCTGCAGAATCTCCTGACATTAAGATTCGGGATAAGTCAGGCTCAATGGAAGAGTCCTTGGATGCGAGGTACGTGGGCAGCGAAGACGTAAGCCAATCTCCCAGAGAGGCGATGTCTTCTAAAATATCATCGCCAGTGTGTTCTGGGGTCAATCGGTAGTTTGGAAGGACGGCAATTGCTCCGTTGTCGATGATCAAGGGGACCAGGTATGCAGAGAACCACTCAGCGTACATTGCCGTTCCTGTGGTCTGAAGAGATGCAGTAAGCAGCTAGTCAATCTATCATCTCGGAAGTCAGGCTGCTTACTAGACCTCCACCATGCCATCTGACCATCACAGGATGCTTCCCTGGGGAGATCCCTTTAGGTACGAGGACATTGACTTCTATTTTGTGGTCGCCAATCTTTTTATATGAAGTCCTGTAGATGTTGAAGCCATCAAAGCGATTCTCTGCGGTGGTGTGGAGTGACATCCTCGTGCAGGTGCGGGGTAAGTAATGCGTAGTATTCAACTTCAGTTAGGTTATTGTTAGGGTGTTGAACGCAAAGATGCAAGGTTAGAAATACCTGTATGTTATGAGCAGCAAGAAGAACTTCTAACTTGACAACGGGCGGTGATGTAAAGGCCAACTAGGTCTAGGCAAAGGGTACTGATTGTAACGGACTAGTCCACTTCCCCTCTTTCTATTTATAGCCTCGGTTCTCCATTCCTAGCCTCTTCAAAAGTAGGGCCTGGATTCCCATCTCTCTCAATACTGCGAAACTTCCAATCTATGTTCAGGGTATTCAAGGTCGAGTCATGGAATTTGCAACAAAGAATTCTATCGATTTCTTTGGATGACACCATTTACGATTTTCTACGTTTCCACAAATTAAATGTAGGTAACGTGACGGATAAGCGAGTCGGTTAGACAAGCGAGTCGGTCACCCTACTAACTTTGATCACCCACCACACCTTTGCGTACAATGCCTCTAAGCTACGCTTCTTAGTTAATCTCTTACAAGGTAGATATTTAGCTTGCTCTCTCTTCTTTAGATAGAAACTAAATCTAAAGTACCTAACGCGCTGCTATAGCCTTTAATATTCTAAAATTAACACTAATTAACTAACGCGCTAGGAAGCGCGCGCGACGCAATTGCTAGCCTAACTCAAAGAAGCTTACTAAGCTAGAAGAGGAGGTAATAGTTAGTTATATACTTAATCTTAACTTACGTAGATTTGCGCCTACGTACGCTGCTATACGTAATATAGCTAATTGTTACACGGGGTTCGACTATACTTAGCTAGTGTAAGGGGCTGCGCTCTGGGGAGCAATCGCGAGGTATACAAGAGGTTGTATTCGATAAGGAGCTATCTACTCTGCTTACGTGGTGTTTATTTACTTATCGGAGAAAGGTTATGCCAGAGTATCTGAGCGCGTTGTCTGAGCGCTGCTCGGTCTGAACGTAGTTCAGATGGTGCGCGCGCAGCTTGGCCCGAGATTCCATCGAGGAGCTATCCAAAGGGCGTTCAGCCCGTTACAATACCCCCCTCCTTAGGGGATACCGCATCGCCTCTCCGAAACCCCTCTAGGAGGCGGCCCTCGCTGTCTCGTTTGGCCTCCGTGAATGCTTCCCAACGATCTACTGCCTCAGCGTCCTCTAGCAGCTCAGCTGGTTTGAGCGTCGTTTGGTGGAACCCTTTCCATTTTACCTCGTAGTATAGCTTACGCCCTCTCCCACGGCGGCGTACCTCTTCTGCCATAATGTCCTCTACCTCCCATTCATCTTCTCCGTCTACCTGTAGTGGCTGTGGCTGATAGTCGTCCTGAACCTGGTTTGGGAGGGGATCGTTGCTAGCGAGTTTCAACCGATCAACATGAAAAATAGGGTGTGGTCCTGGAGGCGTATCTAATTCAACTGAGTGGCTATCGATTACCTTCACCACTGTATACTTAGCGTTCTTCCAGTCG